CCTAACTGAGTACAAACTGACATATAATGGCATCTGAAACTCCCTGAGTACAAACTGACATATAATGGCATCTGAAACTCCCTGAGTACAAACTGACATATAATGGCGTCTGAAACTTCCTAACTGAGTACAAACTGACATATAATGGCGTCTGAAACTCCCTAACTGAGTACAAACTGACATATAATGGCATCTGAAACTCCCTAACTGAGTACAAACTGACATATAATGACGTCTGAATCTCCCTAACTGAGTACAAACTGACATATAATGGCGTCTGATACTCCCTAACTGAGTACAAACTGACATATAATGGCGTATGAAACTCCCTAACTGAGTACAAACTGACATATAATGGCATCAGATACTCCCTAACTGAGAACAAAACTGATATATAATGGCATCTGATACTCCCTGAGTACAAACTGACATATAATGGCGTCTGAAACTTCCTAACTGAGTACAAACTGACATATAATGGTGTCTGAAACTCCCAAAATACAAACTGACATATAATGGCATCTGAAACTCCCTAACTGAGTACAAACTGACATATAATGGCATCTGAAACTCTCTGAGTACAAACTGACATATAATGGCGTCTGAAACTTCCTAACTGAGTACAAACTGACATATAATGGCGTCTGAAACTCCCTAACTGAGTACAAACTGACATATAATGGCATCTGAAACTCCCTAACTGAGTACAAACTGACATATAATGGCATCTAAAACTCCCTAACTGAGTACAAACTGACATATAATGGTGTCTGAAACTTCCTAACTTATTACAAACTGACATATAATGGCATCTGAAACTCCCTAACTGAGTGCAAACTGACATATAATGGGGGGTCTGAAACTCCCTAACTGAGTACAAACTGACATATAATGGCGTATGAAACTCCCTAACTTAGTACAAACTGACATACAATGGTGTCTGAAACTCCCTAACTGAGTACAAAATGACATATAATGGCGTCTGAAACTCCCTAACTGAGTACAAAATGACATATAATGGCGTCTGAAACTCCCTAACTGAGTACAAACTGACATGTAATTGGGGGGTCTGAAACTCCCTAACTGAGTACAAACTGACATATAATGGGGGGGGGGGGGGTCTGAAACTCCCTAACTGAGTACAAACTAACATATAATGGTATCTGAAACTCCCTAACTGAGTACAAACAATTACACACTCACACAGTGGAAGAGAAAGAATGAGTTTCCCATACCTGATCCATATCAGTCTGTTAAATAGGAAAATGAATATAGTTTTAGTATATGATGAATGATGGTAAATTAGATATAAGATACAGTAATGATGCATGATGGGAAATGTAGAAATGGGGTAAATCATGCCGACATTCAAAGCACAGACATACTACAAATTTAGTACTAGTTATGATGCATGATGGGAAATACAGGAAAGGGGTAAATCATGTTGGCCTGCAATGTGCAATGCATAAAACCAGACTACAAACTAGTATACAGTTATAATGCATGATGGGGAATGCAGGAAATGGGTAAATCATGTTGGCTTGCAATGTGCAATGCATAAAACTAGACTACAAACTAATTTACAGTTATAATGCATGATGGGGAATGCAGGAAAGGGGTAAATCATGTAGGCTTGCAATGTGCAATGCATAAAAATAGACTACAAACTAATTTACAGTTATGATGCATGATGGGAATTTAACAAGAAGAGTAAAGTTAAATCAAACAAAGCACACACAAACACTGCAAATTAGAATTCAAGAGTAAATGAGAACAAGGGCATGCATGTTAGGTGATCAACAAATATAAAATCACACAACTACCGGTACATTCACTAAAGTAGTTAATTGTGTGAATTTCACAGTCTGGGAAATTACATTTTACTGTGCTCCTTTGTGCACAATATGATTTTTATGAAATTCTCACCCTGCAGAGTAAAAATTGTAACTACTTACAGTATCTTATTTATGTATATGTACCTATAATTGAGGTACAACTTCCTATAAGACGTTATATTATTGTGAACCCATTATTATGCGATTTCGTTGCCAGTCAACATGTACACTTTTGCCCAAGAAACCCTCACATAGTACCAAATCTATGTGCATAACAAGTGTTATTCCGGTAGTACGCATGGCGCAGAAACAGTCACGCATGCCATTCTGTTCACGCCTGTGGAAATGTAACTGAGTTCAACATGTATAAGCATCTTGTGAGGTTGCACTCTGAGAAGATAATGAACCTATTCAATGTGCATCAAAATTGATGTGCATCAAGGTCCCATAACATCTAATTGGTGTACATATACATCCTAAGATAATTAATGTGTGTGTGAAGTTTTAACATTGATCAGTCAAAGCACGAGATAAAGGTTCAGACTGCTGAAAAATGCACACAGTGATTTTGAAAATAAATTGACCAGAAACTTTATTCTTTGTATCAATGTATCATGATTCCCCCAGAGTGCAACAAATGAAGTTAGTTATTCACTTGAGAAGAAAAATGTAAAAAAAAAAAACACTCCCCAATGCATTATGGGTAAACTTACCGATTTACTTTTACTTCCCACCAGCTGTTCACCTGCTAATGTGAAGTATCTTGTCTTCCATCTTTTAAATAATTTCCATCTTACTTTTTTTTCTTTTAGACAACCTTCAATCATTGGTTGACCCTCATGTAATAAACCTAGTGATAAATATAATATGCCATATATGAACTATTTTGAAATTTTTTTTTTTTTTTCAAAATGTACTAGTTTACTGAATTTTGTAGTCAAATTGTAATATTTTCCCAAAACATTGATCAAGACTAATAGTCAATATGGAAATTATTGAAAACCCATAGCTGCTAACAGAATAAAAGCTCATACCACCGAATACACGACAAGGTAAATTACTATGTTAAATCAAAATAAACATGTGCTGCATGCAGGGCTAAAAACAGATGCTTGTATGCAACATTAAATCCCCTAGATATACATCAGTGGACAGTAGGTGACACAACGTAATACGGAATGTACATTTGATCAGAATTATAACAAACAAGCAGCCTCTCGACTGAGATAGCTCCACTATTAGCAATGCACATATAATCAGAGAATTGAAGAAGAAATCATCACAAAATGAACAAATCTGAGAGAGGTCAAACTGAGGTACCTATATGTATAATATCAAAGCAATCAGACTTGCAGTTTTTAACAAGAAGTCGAAAATATAATTTTTTACCAAAAATTACAAAAATATTCATCAAAATTAGAGAACAAATCAAAGAGATGTTCACCTGTGGTACCTATATTTATAATATCAAAGCACTCAGACTTGTGGTTTTCAACAAGGAGTCAAAAATGTTAAAGTCGACAGTGGAGCTAAAAGCAAGTTGAACAACCAAGAAAATATCAAAGAATACAATGATAGGTCCTACCTGATGCTTTGTCTGGGTTATTACACAGAAAACACAGCCATGTTTCAAAACTTTTATTGTACACAAACACATCAAAGTAACTGATGTCAGTCAGTTCATCAATGAGATGGTCTTGCACCTACCATGGATACAAATGTAGAACACAAACAGCTTTACAGTTACGGCAAAAAAAAAAAAAACTTGTGTTGCCCACTAGTCGGAAAATTGAAAAATTGGGTCGGTAGGTCGGATTGTTTTTTTGTTTTGTTTTTAGTGAAATACAGATCAACCCCAGGTTCAGAGTTGCCACTTATCCCCCGGGGATCAAACATTGCTCCGGGATCATTAATTTTTAGAGGAAACACTTTTTCACTGCATAAAATGGTGAGTTTTTACATAGACTCTCTAAAAGAGGGTCTATGGTTTTTAACATTTGGGCCTATTAAAAAAAAAAAAGTGCGACCCGATATTTTATATTTATCACAATAACAGAACCATAATGCATAGAGCGACACAATCAAATTGCAATTTAACCTTTACATCACCAGACTTTCTCGCCCAAATTTTTTTTCTTTTTTTCTTATCCTTCAATAACCCCAAAAATGAACCCTAATTTTGGAACCAACAGACAAAATTTGAGTCAATTTTCAATTTTTACTCAAAAAATGTGTCCACTTTTGTCCAAATCTTCTGAAGGAAGTTTAACTTGAACTTGTTTTTTGACATTATCATTATAGAACACCTACACTACCTTAACCGTTTGAGTGCTATTGTCAACTTTTGGCACTACCTACAAAATTATTTGTAGTCTGCTCATTTGATAAAAAAATTAAACAAAATATCTGAACTTGTCTGTATGGTCCAAAATGATGATGAAATTTTGTGAAAATTTTACAGAATCTGAAAATATTTGCACTGAATTTTGGGCCGAACAATTATCTGGCACTCAATGGGTTAACCAGTGTTCAAGAATGATTCAGAGGCAGCATATAACTCCCAAAGTAATGTTTATCACTGTAGTCCATTGTAATGTTTAAGTTAAAAAATTCATAGATTATTATAATGTGTGTTAATAGACAATAACAGAATTTTTTTTTTAAATCCATATGCATGATTACAACATTATTTTATTTTTTTTTATTGAGAAAAGTTAAAACTTTCATTACCTTCAAAATGGGAAATGGCTGTGTTATTAGTCTTGTGAAAGGAATTGGACCACCTTTCTTCTGTTGCTCCCAGCATGCTTTGAGATTCTGGACACCGTCATCATCTAAAGACACTGAAGTAGAGGAACTGGCCTGGAACAAACAAACAAACAAATTAAAATTAAACTACTACTGCCCCAGACTCTTCCAAGACTCACTGTTTTTCATATTTGTGCTCAAATCAGTTATTCATAAAAAGCATTTTTCACCAACTGATTAGTCCTGGGCTTCACAACCCAATGATCACACCGAGAAGTTGTACAATAATATCACAAGAATATGCAAAGTAGGCACAGTAGGTCAAAGTTGACAAGATACCATATCTTGTCATACATATAACATACATTTTTTCCCCGCTTTGTAGTCGTATTTTTTGATAGATAGTCGTGAAAGGTAAGTGAAAAGCATTTTACAAGATCCAGACTACAACAATGGAATATTTACCTGCAGTTCTAAGAACATAAGATGGACCCATGGTTGTAGATTTCTAGTTGTGTGTATAAACGGGGATTTATTGAAAAGGCAGTGAGGTCCTTTCTTGCCGCAGTAAAATTCTAATCTGCCGAATGTCCTGGAAGAATACCCTTCTGAAATTGAGATTGAGAACAAGCAATT